ACATCTGTCACAGCGATCTGCGCTTTGAATACAAATTGGCATTTTAAAGAGAGGGGGGGCAAATGATGTAGATTGAAATCAGAACAAGTCCACCGCAGTTGGAATTCTAGGTAGTCCATCTTACTTAAGGAGTCGGAGACAATCCATGTAATTTTGTATTCACCATCCATTGAATAATGTATATTAAAGAGCACGTCTAGAACCTGGTCATTTTTGTATTATAAAAGCACACATCAATACGATCAGTGGTTCAACTGCGATGTCAAAAATGCTGCTTCTATGATCTTTGAATCCAAACAAGTGAATAGACCATTTTCCGTTCACTGCGAGAATCACGCGTTATGCGTGAAATCGAACGTAAAAACAGGACAAACAAAGGTCAGAGCGTCGTAGTGGCGTCAAACATCGCGTGGGATTCGACAAACGCGAAAGTATTTTGGGGACATTTCCATGCTTAATAATGTGCTGTCCACATTTGATGATAGGCAATTTCGATTAAGTAAGGGTATTCGGAAGCAATATTCCTCTGTCGAAGATCGGCCGGTCGGTGTGAGCTACGAAATAAGGAAATTCGAGTTCAAAATCAAATCGTTCGATTTTTGCGGCAGACGTTCGACGCGCGTCTTTCATGCATCTCGCGAGATCTCGCAATTGTACGGAAAATCACCTATTGCACCCATACGTGTTACGATGCAGTTCAAAGGCTGATTTAATCGATTTACTTCAAAATATTGTCTTTGTTTTGCGACGATTAGCAGAATCTGTTATTGGACTACTACAGCAGCACTAACTTAAAAGTGTAAGATCCAGTGTCGCTATAATTTAGGAACATAATCTGTTTTATTTTATGGTTGTATTATATAATCCTGTTTACGCTCGTCCACAAATCTATTTTGACTACTTTGCCGTAAATCTTGATGTTTATTTTCAAAGACATGGCAGTTGGTAAATTAATTATAATTTATTGGTAATAAAACAGTGTTGTTCTCACAAGTTATTAATACTGGTGTTTGCGATGTCTTTTTTTTTCTGATCAGCTTCTTTCCAAACAAAATGCATACAAATATTATTATTACATTATCATTCCGCCAAACCTTGCACCTTTATATCAAACTAAAATACCCCATGAACACGGTCTATAATTACCTATGATATACCATGACCCCAATCTGTGATTACCCATAAAACACCTCGATATCACTCCGTGATTACCCGCAATGCATCATGGGCGCAATGTGTGCACACATCCTTCCATCGATTTGAAAACTGATAATTCGTTTCAGTAAACTTATTTTATTCTACAGAATAATGATTTTTTTTTCAAAAATAATGTACCATTCTGTACGTATGAACATGCTTTGAATATTTGAATTTTTATTTTTAAAGTTTAATGTCGTCTGCTCTTTTATATTTGTATAGTGTCAGGCTTGTATGCATACAACATAATTGTGACGATCTCCGTGTCCACAGGAGGTGAGTGCCGCAATAAGATACTGACGTATCCAAAGGCAAATGTGGCATTATTTTTGTTGAAAGCAAAATAAAGATAAAAATCACTTTTCTTGCAAATGCCCCCGTCATTCTAATCTCCGGCAAATTTCCGCATCGATAAACAGATCCACCTATCAGATAGGCGTTCCGTTAAAATATCTTCAACTATTGGAGAGCGACTGTCATATAAAATAACATGTTCGTTGATGATACAATGGGTAGTAGTTATTACAATTGAAATTGAGCAATGTTAAGGCAGGGGAGAATTACAGATGCACTGTGTGTACGGCGACAATTACGATGAAGGCAATTTGACCCTATTGACGTGGGCTTTGTCTGACGAGAGGCGTAATGAATGCGACCTCATTAGGCGACATACGATGATGAAATACAGTTGTCTTGAATCTCAAATGGGGAAAGAGGCACTGAAATATATCTAATAAGACATTGTGATCTCGTGATACGCGCCACACTTTTTTTTTATCTAAACGTGACTTTATAATATAGAGGTATTTTACAATAATAGTTTCTTATTTCTGCGGAAATTGTTCACAATACACTGTTAATTTTATGGTACTTTTTTCAATTGCGCACACTCATGGCCACGTTCGTCAGTGCAGAGCTGGGTGGGTGCGCAGGGAATGTGGGATGGAGACTTACACTGTGCGAGTGTCGATAGTGATTGACAGCCGGTGGCTTAGTTTGGTCAGTGAATTTGCCTACAAGCCGAAGCCAATGAGTGTTATATTGCAAGCAATAAAACCAACCAGTGGCATTGTATGACATTATACGTGCGTTATCTCATCCACTGTATCTTTGATAATCCTTAATGGGGGCTGGCTATTCAAGTTGCCTTTCCCATCTACTTCGCAAAATCTGATATATTGAATGAAACCAATTTGGCAGTGACAGGACCCACTCTGTGACTGCGGCTGCTGGCAGTGGTGGGATCTATCTGTTAGTAGTGGTGGGATACATTCTGTATCAGTGGAAGTGATTCGGTGACAGTGGTTGGCTACATAATCGTGCT